ACAATAAATAAATAGTATAAATGAATAGTAATCATTGTTGAAAAAACCCACTTGTTTTTGAGTTTTTTTCCCTTAATGGGCCCCGCCTATGAAGTAAATTTTCATGAAACTCCCCAGTTTGGACTAGAAGAGCATTTCGTACCTACATTAGGGGTGAGCAAACAATTTTTTGGTTCGATTTTTAACTATTTTGGTTCGATTTTTGGTTAACCAAACACAAGAAAATTACCACCGAACCGAACCAAATAACCATTCGATAAAAAAATTTTGGTTTCAAATTATTTCGGTTTTTTTTTTCGATTTTTCGATGTTAACCAAAATTATTAACATTGAAAGTTCAAGTTCATCCTCTCACAACCTATAAAATTTATAAATATTTTCGAACTCATATATGAGTTCTTTTTCGATGTGGGACAATTTTAAATCCATTAGTTTTTGTTAATGAGATGGGTTATTTATAGACCTTTCCAAGTGTCAAAAGTATGTGTTTTTTCGATATGAGATAGTGAACTCACCCTTTAAGATTACCTCTATCCCACATCGCTTAGTTTAACCTTTGGAGGGTGGAGGATAGGTTATAAATTAAGTCCGACTTCGGTGACTTGTTCTCCTCTACTTGTGGCCATGAGTTGTGATTTGTGTGACCTTTATCCTTTAAAGTTCAAGTGAAAACCCAAAAACTCAATTTCAATTAAATTTTATTTTTAAGTTTATTTTAATTTATATAAAATATAAATAGGTGAGGTGTTCGAGTTTTCGATAAAAATTGGTTTAAAATGTTTAAAAACCGAAACCGAAAAATGATCAAATATCGATTTGATTTTTTTTTAATAAATTGAAATAAAAAACCGAATTAAATTAGGTATTTTGGTTCGATTGTATTCAATTTTCGATTAACCGAACCGTTTACTCACCCCTAACCCACAAGATTTTATAAGCGGATCTACCACTGATTATTTCTAAACCCATAGATGAGTAGGCATTGGCTACAAGTTGATATATGGATTGAATTGGGAATGTCTAGCAAATGGAAGTACGGAACATTATTTTAAGAGAACGCAACGTCTGACATTTGTAATAAGGTTTGGAACAAGTAAAACCCGGCAAAATAAAGTGCTAACCATAGCTAAAACGCAAACGGAAAAACCTATGCATCCAGGCACACCACTTGAAAATAGATTAAATTCTCAGAGAACAAACAAAACTGCCTCCATACACGAAAACGCCCAGCAAAACATTGCACAGCAAAATGGCAATGCTCCTTTCAGTTTTCGCACAGAACAAAGCTCAACTCTCCAGTTAACACCTTCTACACCACCCCAAAACCAAAGAACAGGAGGGAAAAAAAAAAGAAATCAATAGTTCAAACAAATGCATGACATTTGTTGACATTACTAGAGGTATCTTTCACATAAATTTTCACTGGAACGATACTAAGCTAAGGATACTTCACTGGAAAAGTTAGACGACCGAGATAGGAACAAAACATTCCAACAAAAAGCACCCCAACATTTTGAGCAACAGGAAAACTTCAAAATTCTTAATTCCAGAGTCCACAAAAACCCAGCCTATAAGGGACAGTTTAAGACATAAACAGGAATCACAGTGGAGCTGTGGTTCAACGGGGACAGATCAAGTACTAAAAGTTAGATGTAGGAAGAGAAGAAAACTGAGCAACAAAACATGCTGGAACACCAAAGAAATAAAATTTCTAAAAAATTTAAAGGAAAGATATAAGCTACCAAAATTTCATTGAGACATAATTTAAAACCTTAGAGATCAGCTTATTATCGATCTCCCATAGATAGCATAAAATTGCAAAGTAAGGAGAGAATGAAAATTGCAAAGCAAGGAGAGAATGAATGCCAATCCAGTTAATTAAATATCCCTTTCTCCCCTCCCTACAAAACCACCCCACATCAGATGGAAAATTCCTAAATGTAACAACTGCACTAATCCGATCAAGCATTCAACTATAAAGCCAATCCAAAATGATATCAAATTTACAACCACAGCTGTGCAGTTGATATAAAACAAATCATTACATACTATCATGAACACAAAAAAACAAAAAGAGAAGGAAATGCATAAAAGGGACCGGAAAAATTAAAAGACAAATGCAGATACAAGATAAAGCCAACAACAGCATGGTTGATACCTCTGCGGCAATTTTCCAAGTCATGAAAGTAGAACCCATCAGAACACTGAGTGAGCACCTTTAAGATCCATGCCTGTCCTTGTAAGCAAATACAAGAAGATTGAAGACCGAAAATCTAATAAACATCTTATGAAAAACTCTACATCCTAGTGAACAAATCAGAAAACAATGGTTTATACAACAAAAGATCCATCAGAACTACAATACACAAGGAACTGATGGCACAAAAAAGGTAAAATTAGAGCTAACAAAAAAAATTAGATTTTACATTGTTACAGTGGAAACGGCTATCCATCATTACACAGCATTAGCTCATCTCTGACCCTTCTTACACCGAGATAGGATGACGAATTGCAGGACATCAAATATGTACAAAAAAGAGCCTCGCCGTGAGCACAAGGCTTTTTACAAGCTCACAGAAGAGCTATAGTCAGATAAACAAGTGAGGGACTAAGCTATGGACCTAATACATATATTTGTTTACAGAAGGGAGTCTGGTGATTTACAAAAAGCAAACAAGATGCTCAAATCCCAAAACTTATTACAGACATCCCACACTACATTCTACAGCTCCACAAATACATCTCTTTCTATACAAATTCTCGCAGGAGCATTATTTGCAGATTCCTAAAGGATGCTTGAGGAAAGAAAGAGAGAGCCAAAAATATCATGGCTTCTTTTGCAAACTTTGCAGTCGAAAATCATTATGGAAGGAACCAATGAAGCTGCTCAATCTAACACATCTTCCCCCAGACATCAAAAATTGATCAATCATGAAAACAGAGAGTTGCCAAGTCCACTCCCTGGATGGATGATAAAGGGAGAACCCCTATGTCAATAGGCATATTAAAAGAAATCAATTTGTCAAAGACACCACTGTAGAATCTACCTCTATCACCCAATATATTAGAATGAGCATTGCATACTCCCAAGACAAATCAATCAAATTCAGCTGTCCCTAGTCCAATTTTCACCATGCTGTCCTATGTCAGACTTCTATGTGAGAAAAAGATAAAATAATTTATATACCATTGTAGTTTATAGATTAAACCATCCAAACCTGCTACCAATTACCTATTTTTGTAAGTTGAATTATTCAGAACTACAACAAAGGTAAGTTATGAAAAAAAAATCAAGTACATCAATACAGGGACAAATGAACCTCTCCAAACTACCCAGAACAGGTATGTGGGGATCAGGATTACAACTGTTGTATTGATAGACATGTTTCATATGAAGAACTTCTATACTAAGGCAGCGTTTTAATGTTTAAGCATGTGGTCACAGTTTGAAACAGTAAACATAAACACAAGAAATTATGATAAGTTTGGTAGAGATCAAGATAACATAATGCAATGCAATGGAAGAAAGATTGTGTAATAGATGAAAATAGCTATGACTTCCTTCTTCCATTACATTACATGTTGACCCAAAATGTCCTTGTGGAAACTTCAGAGAGAAATAAGAAAAGATGAAGAGTAAAAAGAAGTAAGAAGAAATAGCAGAATGAATTGATGCAATCTAGCCCTTCATAAAAGGCTTGAAAACATACAAATTTTACAACAGAACTCAAGAACAATGAAACAAGAAGTTTGCAACCCTAAGTATATACCAAAAACTGTTAAAGCTCAAAATTTAGGTCTTGAAAATGACCTGGTCTTTGCAATCTCCTATAACCTAATAGTTGAACCTTAAATGCCAAGAAAAAAGTTAGTGATTCACTTCCCCGATATGTGTTGAGTAAAAAGAAGCAATAGGGAGAAACACCATTACTGTTACTACTGACTAATTTGAACTTAAAATGAGAGCAAAAACATCGGCTAACTGGCTTATAACTACCAATTGCCTATCTTCCTAGAAAAACAATTATAGACATTCATTCACACGACTAGTACTATTTTCCCAAGTAGAAGAACTTAAAAGGAAAGTATATAATAAGCTTGAAAAGTATAGTTTCGCCATTGACCTCTTTTCTTCTTCAAAGACTATAAAAGGTTTCCGGACAAACAATGAAGAGCTAAAGGGAGGACCATGCAGATGGGCTGTTTCTTAAGGCAGGTAAAGTAGTAGTGTGCAGAAATTGACATCAAAGGAAAGATGCCTTCCCAAGACCATGCTAGTAATTATCAATGATGACACTACTACACCAAATAAAACAAGAAAACGAATTGATGCAATGATGTGGAATGGAAACTGCAAGCAACTTTGAAATACAAAACATATAATCTAGGTACTTGAAAAACAGAGAGAGAAAACAGAAGATGGCCCATAAATCATGCCAAATTAATGGCCAGAGGCATAAGAAATATGCAGCATGAAAAGACACTACTAACTGTCTGAATAAAAAATTCCCCCAGAAAAAACTTGGAAGTGAAAAATGATGCTGAATTATGGCACTCTTAACTTTGCGCTATTACAGCCATCTGGCAAAGCTTGAAGCTTTCACATAACCAGTGAAAAAAATATAATAATGATAGACAGTATGCTAGCCATCATCTAAAACAATCCCATAGAGAAGAAAGTTTCATGCATATCAGGGCCACAAGCACTCAAACAGAAGATTCAGAAAAAACATAAATCCAATGGGATGCTCAGCTGTGGGATATTTTATTCCAACCCCACAAGGAATATCCACATCAGCCATCCTACAAACAGTTACTGCTAATGTTTGAAAGCACATAAATGCTAAGTTTCAAGTTTCCAGCTAATAAAGTTAAGATAAAGCAGTAGGGAAGCAAGAGAGTAGCTATTCTCCCCTCCCAATCCAAACGAGTAGAACTTACTTCCTCTTCCAAGAAGACACTCTCTGCACTGTCATAGAAGGATGAACATCATGATGTTGTCACTCTGATGGAAGGCGTCTCCTCTTGCCATAGTCTACATCCCTCGATCGAGACCTGTAATCCTCTTCTGGAGCTGCACGGGACCTGCTCCGAGCTCTTGAAGAAGAGTGCCCTCTATCCCGATCATCCTCATAACCCGACTCACGCTCTCTTTGCCGATGGCCACGGTAACTATTTTTCTCTTCCCTGTACCTGTGCTCCCTCTCAGACCTGTCCCAGTCCTGTTCCCTCTCTTCACGGTGCCGCCTGTCAGAATTACCTGACCAGTCACGCTCAGAAACCCGTTCCTTTTCTCTGGAGGCCCCGCTTGACCGAGCACCCTTTTCATGATTTCCCTCTCCATATCCATATTCAGAAGCACCCTCATCACCATCATAACTTGACTCCCTTGTCCTTCGACCATGCTCTTCTCCCCATCCTCCCATGCTTGTGTCAGACCACATTCCTGGATTCGGTCCATCCATTCCAGAGGACGCCATCATTCCCATCCCATTAGGTGCCATTCCTCGGGCAAAGAAAGCTGGATTGACATGAGGAGCCACCCCAGCAAGTCCCATTGAATTAACAGTAGGAAATGAAGGAAGCATGCCAGGAAAACCAGGACCAGCAAAACCCCCATAACCACCCCCTCGCCCCATATACATTGGATCAAATCCAGCATTCATCATACCCTGGGGTGGGATCATTCCACCAGCAGGTCCACCAAATGCAGGACCTGCAAGGCCTTGTCCATATCCTCCACCATTGGCACCACTTCCAACTCCAGCAACATTCCCAGCCATGTTCTTAGGACCCATGGCACCTCTTCCCCTCATTGGTCCACCCCCAGGTCCTCGGTTGAGAATTCCCTGTCCACCCCTTCCCCACCCACCTCTTCCATAGTTCCTTCCTCCATCTCCGCTTTGATAATTAGCATTACCACCTCTTCCCATACCATCATTCATGGACCCCCTTCCCTGAGACTGAGGCTGAGGCTGAGTCTGACCCTGGGTTTTGTTCATGTAAGAAGCCCCCATCTGCTTTAGTGTTTGTGGAGAAGCAAAGGCCACAACACAAGGTCGTCCATTGAAATGATGCCCATTCATTCCCTCTTTGCATGCAGCTGCAGCACCTGCTTCATAGAAGTCAACTTGGCAATAACCTTTAGACTTACCACTGGCCCTCTCATCAAAGAATTTAATCTCTTTGACCCTTCCATACTGAGATGCAACACTCTCCAGCTCTGCATCAGTGGTCCACCAATGTAATTCTCCCACATACAGTGTGGTAGAACCATTCTCTATAGGTGGACGGACCTGATTTTCATTAACCACTGGGCGATTAACATCTGCATTCATACTCATTTGGTTAACTTGCATCTGTGGAACACCTCGAGGACCAGCACTGCCAGTGTTCGGCAAAGGTTCAGGGTCGTTAGCAATTTTTCTACTCACATCAGAGGGATCAACCCCAATACTGGGGGGCACTGGTGATTTCTGAAATCCCATATTTCGAACTTGAACATCATGACTCATCTCCATAACCCTCCCCTTCTGAGCAACAGAAGATCCATCACCATAGCCAACGGACCCTACATCCTGTGCTACAACACCAACTGCCACCTGCTTCTGCTCTGGAAAATGTGCCCCAGCATTCGAATATTTCCCTTCAACTGCAACCCCACCCACAGGGATAGTAAGTGCTTGTGAACCCCCAGTTTCAACTCTTGATTCATGAGCATTTCGAGTTTGAAATCCTCCATTCCCCGCTGTAGCAGGTGGGGCTGGCGCTTCAGAACCATGCATCTGCAAGAAATTCTCCCCAACATTGACATCATTGTATAGATCATCATACTCGTCATCTTCTCCCAACTCTTCCTCTGCAAGTGCAGGTATGGCACCACTTCCCTGATATTGCATCTTCTCCTCTTCTTCATAATCCATTTGCTCACCAGCCATTGGATTCAAAAAAACATATACTCTTTCAACAAACCCTCTATCTCCACCTATATAAATAAAATAAAATAAAATAAAAAACACCAGCACCTATATTAGATCTTCACGGCAGAAATAAAAAAGAGAAGCAAAGTACCGCATAGCACAGAAGTACCAAACCAAAGTAGCAAACTACTTAGGACCCATGTCGTTAAATAGCCAACAACAGATAAATCTTAGTATTAAACCTTGGAATCTTGAAAAACATGACAAGAATCAGATACCCATTACCATGAAACTAAAAATCCTAAAACCTAAAAATCCCAAGAAAAAAAATTCCCATTTCCAGAATTCGAGAAATAATTAGTAAATCAAACAGAAAGATGATGAAAAACAGATAAACAGTCAGTTCGCAAATCTAATCTCAGCAAGCAAAGAGATACTAGAAAACGTCGCAGCAAAGCAGATATTGACAACTGACTAGCTTTGCAAGAAAGGCAAATAAGAGCCAATAGAAACATCAAAGACTCGTTTCTCTTACTCAAGTTTTTCTGCTTTATCTTGGAGCAAAACAAAGACGCAGGCTCTCTTGTTTTCTCGAGTCGAGTGCTCTCTCCCTCAGCTACGGTTTTATGAATTCTTTTTCTTGTCTCTTCTCTTTTGTGTTTTTTTTTTTTTTTTCCAGTCGCTTCTGCCTTCTTGTAAGCTGTTTTGTAAGTTGTACCCCAAAGGATGATAACAATAATAATAATTTAATCACTCCTTTTGTAAATCCTAATTTGCTGATCTTTAATCCTTTTTATTGTTATTTACTCTTTTCTTTTATTCTCAAAATAAGCTACTAATTGTTAGTGAATGGTTTGGCTCGTGACTAATTACAGTTGCAAAAAAGTAACTCTTATCACAAAATAATAATAATAATAATAACAACAATAAAACTTGTTATGAAATAATAAATATTTATTTTACGTTTTCATTATCATGTGATTCAATTCATCATTCAATATGAGAAGTTAAAAATGTGATATAGTTGATTCAATTATCTATGCATCTTTTGATGATTTATAGTTCATTTCTATTATCTTCCTAGTCTTGAAGATTATAAATAAGCTTGAATATTCATTAGTTTGAGTAGATGTGTTTTGTAGAGATTTAGAGAATTATTTTAAGTTGTTATCTCTTCTATTCACTTTATTTATAATGAATTCATTTTTATATCATTTTTCTCTTCAATTTTACTATTGTTATCATTTTTTTATAACACACTATCAGCACGAAACTCTAATCAACCAAAACAATAGACCATGAGGTATGTATTTAAAAAAAAAAAAACTCAATCATTAGATTGTTTTTTCTACACGAGTGCTCTACTAAAAGATTTAAATCATCTTTATCATTAAGATGTATGTATCTAATTTATTATTTATTTTAGATCTAATATATGTTATTTGAAAAGTATAAATTTTATTATCATGTTTGTTTTTATTTCCTAATATTATTATTATATCTTTCATTATAGAATTTTGATCATATCAAATTTCACAAAACTTGATTTTGTGGTCCTTAACATTTCGAGCAAGAATTATTAATCGTGGGTACTTGATGCTGAAAAAATTCTCTACTTTTCATTCCTCAAATATACTTCTATATTAACAATATCGAGAAAAATGTTTTAAAAAACATTCTAAATTGATTTCATGCTTGTTTATGGCTAAACAAAATAACAAGTTATTGATAAAAAAAAAAAAATTATGAATCTCGTCCAATTGGGTCTACTCCATTCCTTGAAGTAAATGTGATAACTTATATTATTTTGGACATGGACAAAGATGTAGACATAACTACAATCATGTTGAAATAGTTATCATTACAATTATAATAACCATAATAATACACCTCACCACGAAGAGTAGATAAATTATGAAAAAAAAACAAAAAAAATGGATCAAGTTAGTATCTTGAAAATGAAAGTAATAGATGTGACATGAAGAGATATTGGTCGTGTATCCGTCATATGCCAAAGCACCTCGTTAAGTCTTATCAAATCTCATTGAAAAAGAAAGAGTAAAATATAAAGGTCAATTTTATATATCAAAATGATGATAATTAAAATTAATAACTTCTTAACATTTCTATTTATAAATCAAAAGTTTTATATTTACTTATAATTTCTATTGCATAGTGATAGTTATAAATTTATTTTTCTATATGTTTATTTATTTATTTTTATGAAAAAATATATTTATTTATTTTATGTTTATTTAATTACTTATTTTTTGTTAATATTATATATAATAATATCAATTTAACAAAAAGCTCTAAAATAACGACTATATTATTATATGAAGAGACAAATTTTAAAGGTTCTAGAGGAGCGAATATATTATTTTTCATAGAAACAACTTTTAAAGACTCTAAAAAAGCAAATATATTATTACTTGAAGTGACATAATTTAAAGGCTCTAAAAGGAAAAATATATTATTATCTAAAAGGATAAATTTTATTATAAATTATGCATTATTCTCTCTAAAATTTCATAAAAATTTGTTGAGTTTCAACAATATTCATCTAAATAGGCATCGTATCAAGATAGCAAATGTAAAAAATATTGAATACTTAAATATTATAATTATTGCATCTAGTAGAAAATATATATTAAAGAAATTACCTGCTTGCTTTTCTAATCTTTATTACAAATATTTGAATGATTGAAACAAATACTACAATGAATTAGAAGTTTACTAATTCAAATGTTTTTATTATGTGACATGACCGAGTTATGTTATACTCGTGTCTTTCATAATGCCAAAAATTATTAAAAAATCATATGGGCATCTATTGAAGAGATCGAAAGATTTCTCAATCTAATAAATTTTTATGTTCTGCATGTTTTTAAGATAAATTGATTATTGAGCCATCACCAAGTAAAATTAAAATTGAATCTCTAGTATTTTTAGAATGTATTCAAGGTAATATATGTGGACTAATTCATCCATCATATAGATCATTGAGATATTTTATGATTTTAATAGATGCATTTATAAGATGGTCACATGTATACTTATTATTTATTCGAAACTTGGCCTTTTCGAGGGTGCTAGCTCAAATAATTCGATTACGAGTACAATTTCTAGATTATGCCATTAAAATAATTTATCTTGATAATGTTGGTGAATTTCTCTCTTAAGCATTAAATGATTATTGATTGGGTACTAGAATAAAGGTTGAACAACATGTTGCTCATGTTCATACTTAGTAAGGTTTAGTAAAATCATTATCAAAAGGCTTCGATTGATAGCTAAGCCATTAGTTATGAAAACAAAACTTCTTATTTATGTTTGATGACATGCAATCTTATATGCAGCAACACTTATTCGCATTAGACCCACAAGTTATCGAAATTCTCTCATATTCAATTGATTTTTGGTCATGAACTAAATATTTATCATCTAAATTTTTTTTTTGCTATGCGATATATATTCCTAGTGCTCTTTTACAACAAACTAAAATGTGTTTTTAAAGAGGATTGAGAATATAAGTTGGATTTGAATCTTTTTTTATACTTAAATATCTTGAACCATAAACAAGAGATATTTTTATAATTTGATTTATCAACTATCATTTTGATGAAATAGTTTTTCCAACATTAGGAGGGAGAACAAGCAAAATAAGCGATTAGAAATATTTAAAAAATAGATTACATGGAGTACTCTATATTTACATCATCTTAATCTTCTCACAAAATAATGTGAACTAGAAGTTCGGAAGATAATTCATTTATAAAATATTACAAATCAAGCTGTTAGATGCATTCTCGGATCTAAAATAGATAACTAAAATGCATGTCTCTATTAAGAATACTCCTATTGGAATTGATGTCTTAAAAAGGATAATTTGTTAATGTTATAGCAAATGAAGCTAAAGCACATCTAAAGTATGAAAAACCAATCGATAATGACAAACATATCCGAAAAAATGGCAAATGATCAAGATGAAAATATGAATGATGTAAATAATCATAAAATGGTCTCATATATTTCGATAACGAGCTTCTAAAAGAAATCCAAATGTTTGAGAAAAATCAAAAGACTTTGATAAATTACGTCAATACGAGGAGAAAATAGGACAAAAAAAAAACATTTATTGATAACATATTTGCATATAATGTTGTAATTGATATCTTGAATGAAAATAAGGATCATGAGCCTAAATTTATTAAAGAATATCGATTGAGATGATTGACCTAAATGAAAAGAGCAATCTAGGTAGAATTATATTCTCTTAGAAAAGAGTAAACTTTTTGAACCTATAGTCAAAACATCTAAATATGTTAAACAAGTAAGATACAAATGAGTATTTATGTAAAAACGAAATAAGAAAGATGAGATTGTGAGATATAAAAAAAGACTTGTAGCACAAGAGTTTTCATAAAGATCTAACATTGACTATGAGGAGACATGTTCTCTTATAATTGATACAATTATATTCCGTTATCTCGTTACCTTGATAAAATATATGAAAAACTTCACATGTATGTATTTAATAGATATGATCATAATATATTTATTCACTTAAAAATGATATCTATATGAAAGTCCTAGAAGGACTTAAGATACATAAAGCATGTAATATACATTTCTAAAAAATATATTCAATTAATTATAGGGATCTCTATAAAGATTATTTTAGCATTTATTTTATTACTTTGGTTTTTAGAAATTTGATTTATACTATACTTTTTATATTTTATTTTTCAATACCCACTCTTTATTACTAATCTAGATGAATGTGGTATAATCACCTTAATGAATATTTGTTAAAAAAAGATTATAAAAATAACCACATTGTTCATGCATTTTTATAGAGAAATTCGAAAATGAGTTTGTGATAATTGGTGTATATATTGATGATTTAAATATTATTGAAACTCTTGAAAAGAATTTCAAGTGGCATAAGTTATCTAAAAAGAGAATTTGATATGAAATACCTTGAGAAAATAAACTTTTATCTCAATCGCAATTTG